AAAACTTAAAAAAAAGGTTTTAAAGTTAGTGAAAATCGAAGGTGAAAAAGATGCATGGCAGGCCCTACCACTGAGCACAGGCAGAAACATCTGACCCAAAGTGCTTGTCGAAGTGATTAGCAGACACAGACGTGCTCAGCCTCGCACCACACAGCTCTGACGTCTGTCTCTGGTTGGACACATCCTAAAATGAACTGCATAAAAACTCAAGCCTCACCCACTCATTTCATGTTACTAGTAGTATTGTTATTATAATCCCAAAGCTATTTTCTGTAATTATGGGAGTTAGCCAGTAAATATACTTATGTGATTAAGGAACCCAGCTTTTCAGTGTTAGAAAAAGAAAACAACCCCAGCCCTGTAATACTACATTTCAGTTGGAAACTTAAAGTCATATGGATCTCCCAATATAAACACATATATATGTGTGTATATGCTTTTTGAAATAATGAGACTTACAAGAAGTTGCAAAACTCCTACTCCACGGTCCACGTACCATCACGCAGCCTCTCCCAATGCTTACCTAGCTCTGGCTCATCACCTCAACTAGGACACTGACCTAGGCATGACAGAATCAATTACGGGCCATACTCAATTTCAGTTTTTACATGTACTCACCAATAAGAACAGTGATACACACAACACCACGGATGAGTCCCAGAAACACGAGGCTGGAAAGAAACCAGACACGGGAACATATGCTCTGGGACTCCATGTAGCTGGAGGCCAAGCACAGAGAAGACTCATCTACAGTGACAGACACCAGAAAGTGATGAGGAGGAGGATGTGGAAAGGAACACAGTCATTTTCTGGTTGATGAAATTGTTCTACACCTTGTTTTGGGCAACAAGGACATGGATGTGATCAACTGCCACATTTCATCAAACTGAATGTGTCAACTATAGCTCAATAAAAAGTTTCAAATGAGCCGATGATGATCTTCAAAAAGAAAAGAGGGGAGAGGAAGGGTACTCTTTGTCAGAGGCCATCTGCTAGGAGATGCAGCTGCATGAGAGAGGCAGAAAGTAGGCACGCACTCTCCTCCTCCCTCGGGGTAGAACGCAAGACTCCTGAGCACAGCGGTCACTCAGAGCCCAGGGACGGCTCGCAGCCCACATGCCAAGAGCAGAGGCAGAAGCCCGTGTGGACAGCGGAGGGACCCTGGCCACAAAGCACTGCCCTCCCACATGAGGCCACACATGGTCCACTGCCTTGCTAGGAAAGATCTGTGTCCAGACTGCTGACCCTGACCACCTGACAGTAATACAGCTTCCCAGCCTATCTCCCCACTCACGGAGCACACACCAAAGAAAGGAGAACCAGGCAAATGACCTAAACCAGAGCAATCCAGGAGGTCATTCTGTAAGACAACTGGCCCGGACTCCTCCAAAGTCAAGGTCATGAAAGCCTTTTTTAAAGGGGGTACAGTGTAAAGGGACCTGTTCCAGATTTAAGATTACAGACACCTGAGTAACCAAATACATGTGTGACCTTGACTAATCCTGGGGCGGGGGGTTGGGACAGCTGTAGAGGGCACTGGGACGACTGGGGGATGTGGGCTGTTTACACACTACTAATTTTGGGGGGGTGGGGGATCCATACTGGAACTATTGACGGATAAAGTCATAATACCTGTAATCTAGTTTCTTTTTTTTTTTTTAAAGATTTTATTTATTTATTTGAGTGAGAGAGAGAGAATGAGAGAGAGCACATGAGAGGGGGGAGGGTCAGAGGGAGAAGCAGACTGCCCGCCAAGCAGGGAGCCCGATGCAGGACTCGATCCAGGGACTCCAGGATCATGACCCGAGCCGAAGGCAGTTGCCCAACCAACTGAGCCACCCAGGCGCCCTGTAATCTAGTTTCAAATGGTTCAGCAAAATGGAAATTCACATTTTTCAAAATGATGAAAGAGAGGAG